TGGTCTGGCGTGTAAACGGAACCGCAGAACCGAACTGAGAGCAGAGGCAACTTGCCGTGGAAGCTGCAACCACGCAACGGAAATGAGAAAACGCTGCATGTGCGGGCTCTGCGTCCGCCGAAAATAATGCAACAAATTTAGTGCGCTGACTGGGAAATGGAGTGCATGCATATATCAGTCGCCTGTGACAGCGTTTCCAGCTGCTCCTCATTGTCAACCGCACTGTCGCTTGCCGGCAGAAAACAATTCGAATCGCACGAAAGTGCAGCTGAATCTAAAAACTATAGCTGCAGCCGCAGAAAAGCACAGGGAGGCGCCGAGGAGATGCCCCTCCAGATTTCGGCAAAACAATTTCAAATGCCTCGCATCGAATCGATTCAGCCGGGTGGCAGACAGGCTCTTCCGTTTGCTCCCAGCTCGCGGCCACGAAAACTGAAACTGCAACAGAAACTGAAACTGAATCAGAACTGAACAGATCCGAATGGGTTGGGAACAGAGGCCTCCGGCGAAAGTATGCCAATGCGCTTCGTTTACAAAAGCAGGCGCAAATGCCGCAGTCACCGCTGCTCGCGAAGCTCAACCGCCATTACCTGGTTAAGGGGGACAGAACAGAACGGCCTGAGAACGGGAGATATGGTACAGGGAGAAGAATTCTTATATTGTTCTACGCCACTACACTTTTGAGAGAAAAATGTTCTCAAAAATCTTAGACCTGCCATAATCAAAAAAAAAAAATTTATAACATTACTAAGGCTACAAGGTTCTTTAAAAACATTCTGATAGCCCTTATTGATTTGGAAATTGTGTTAAGCCCTATTCCTTAATCATATTTCTTCACTTCACCAAAAAATGATATTCGATTCTTGACAATATCTCCCTCTCTCTCTATTATATCCTGACAGAAAGCACTCCTTCCGAAAAATGTAATATTTGATATAACATATGTAACATATATTGATATTGTATGCCTATTTGGATTCACATTGATTGATTTTAAAGGTGTTTTACCTTAACCAATTTACACCAGTCGGGAAACTACTTCAATCGTTGTTGTTGAGTAAATATGAAGGTGTAAACATGCGATCTTTTCAGTGCACTTCCCTGCAAGCAGAGTCGCTATTTATGCAACAATGTTGGCGGGTCTGCACCCCCTTTTCGCCGCCCTCGTCATGTCGTTAGCTGCTAAAAACCCCCGCCACGTAAAGTGTGTGTTTGTGCACGATATAAATTATTTAAGCAACAAACTGTGCTTTTCGCACCACTTTCGCTGCAGAATGCTGAGCATATCACCGCTGTTTGCTGGCAGGTGGAAATCAATCGGCACGGAAAGGGGATTGAATATCCTCGCCATTGTCGCGAGTGTTGCGCAAACAATGGGTATCACATGGTCGAGCTGCAAGTCCGTTTCAAAATCGAGTCTATTGTGCGGTGCAGCTGCAATGTTGCATGCATTTTTGATGTAAGTGCTCGACGTGCGAGTGAATTTGTAGGGGGGTGAGGTTTTTGCCTCTAAGGGTGTGTGCGTCAGTGCGAGTGCGCACTGTACGGTGGACTCATGGACTCATGTGACACAGTTTCCGCGACAGCGAGGACAAAACCCATTCGAGCTCATTTTTCAGCACGGACAGAGAGAAAGTGTTCGGCGCGGAAGTGGCGAAAGTTTTTGCGTTTTCTGCAACGCACGCGACTAGCTACGTGAGCCAGTGGAGGGTATAAATTTAAGAACTCTTAAATTCGAGCTCGGATTTAAGTGCAGCACGGCAAGAAACGGAGATTGCAGTTTTAAAACCCAGCGCTAGTCATTATTTTGATGGACTGAGGGACTTATCTTATCTTCTTCTTCATTTCAGAACTTTCAGAAAAGGGGGCCTGAAAAGTTATGTTCCACATTGTACATCTTCATCAGTTATTAAATTAGAAGCTGAGACAAATTTCTACAAGTAAAAAGCCTCACATAAAATCATTTATACATTCAAAAAAGCCACATTTCTTAAGAACTTAAAATTCTTGAAGTCTTATTAAACAACACGCAATTTAAAAAGGTTACTTAGGCTATATTTATTATTTTTTATGAGTATCACCAAATTCTGGGAGAAATGGCTAAGCCTATCACATTTTTTCCAAGTGCAACATTACGGATTTTCCGTTTGAGAGACAGCAATAAAGTTTGCCGTTCCATCGAAGCTCCTCTCCTTTGTTTCCACCAGCCTTGCCCAGTTTTAATGAAATTTCGTGCATAGTTGGAAACCACTTTAAAATTGTTTAATGCGCCTATGCCCCGCCCACACATTTTGGCCTTTCTGCCGCCCCCTTTCCCAGTCCCCGAAAAAGGCTTACGCACACCCACTCCTCAGCACACACAAATCACCTTCCTGCCATTCGGGCTTCTCGGTGCGAAGTGGTTTGCATGTTTAATGCATTTCATGCATGCAATTTAAGGCCAACTGCATTTTTGGTCATTTGAAAAATATGTGCTGGAGCCTCGACATGTACCACTTGGGTCGTTTTGGCCCGAATGACCAAAGGCAAAGGCGAAAGGAGGCGGCTACCCGAGAGTGTTGCCCGAAATTCATATGCAAAACTCTAATTTCGGCATTCGCCTCAAAGGGGACGGGGTTGCATATCGCGTCGACTGCAAAACCCAGACATATTTATGCAGGCCGAGATATTAACGCAGGGGTCGGCTCGTATTTCGACGGGCGGTCGAGAAAGTCGAGAGTGTCCTGAAAATAAAAGAGATTTAAAGTGCTCCGCCAGGACCCGTTCGACACATTTTATAGACGGTGCTTTGGGGAGTTTTAGGGGTAGATTGCTTTTCTGGAGATTTATGTTACAAAGAGAGTAAGGAGTTGGTTATGTGGTTTACTCAGTTTGTGATCTGTATCTAAGCCACAGAACTCGGTGAAAATATAATGGGTATGCGTAAAAACAGGTAATACAAAAACTTTCGAGTAGTGAGTATCTGTTATTCGGTTTTACTATTCCCTCACTTTACTACCCCCTTTGAGTGTGCCTCTTAAAGTTCATTTGACTGCAAAATTTGTGCAATTTCACACAAGCGTGCGCTTTTGTGCCGAGACAATATAAAATCTGAGGGTCGACAAATTCGCACGGCCATGTCCAGCATTAAAGCCCCAGCAATTTTCGCCCGCTTCCTTTGTGTCCTCCCCGCCCATGCCCACGCCCCGCCCCTCCCCCACAAAATGATGATCTGCGAAAATGTCCTTTTATGTCCGCTGGGCGCTAAGGACCTGTAAAAGTGTCTCTTAAGAAGGGGGCGGCTAAGAGCAGACAGGTGGGTCAAAAGGAGGCGGCAGATGGCCGTGTCCAGGGGTATCGTAAAAGATAAAACGAGGGGGGCGGGGAGGCACAGACACAGACCCACACAAAATGGGCAAAAGTGCAGTCGGCGGAGGGGGCAAAGACTTTTGGCCTGTTTGCTGATGTTGCCGTTTTCTCGGGGCGACTCCTTGGGGCGTCTTTTGGACCGGAGAGGAGTCCTGCAAGTCCTGCAAGTCGCCTCCTGCAGCAGTTCCTGTAATCAAATTTGTTACGCTGCGTTGGTGTCCTGTTGCCGCGCAGGACCTGCTCTTGAACTGCATTTAGCCGGGCTGCTCTAACCATTTGTTACGCTCCGCTGCGCTCATTTGTCGCCGAAAGCCGTCCAAACAGATACTGCGTGCCGGGGTCAGACTGTTTTTCTTGCCGCCGTTGGAAAGTGGCTTTAAGCTGCCGCTGCTTTTGCTGCTGGGCGACAGCAATTTTCGCGTTGGCCATGTTGCCACGAACAGGACAGGACGGGTCAGGACAGCAACGATGCCCCCGAGGGCACGGCGAGTGCGTTAACACACTCTGACGGGTCACACGCACCGAACACCGAGCATTGAGCTTGGTCAGAGGGGCCAGGAAGCAGGAGGAGTGGCTTCCGTCCATATCCGCCATATAAAGCTATATGGACACCGATCTCCCCTTCTCACATAACGCGTCAACGTTCCGGTCTGTGCGTACTGCGCGTTTATTGCCATCCTGGGAGTCCTGGGGCCTCGTCTCGCCGTAAACGCGAAGGACTCGCTGCTACATTTTTATGCTAATTGAAACCCATTCAGATGGAAACAAATTGCCATCGATAGACGGACCCTCTAAGCAATGAGTGTGGGTGCACTCAGAAAAAAACTAGTTGCTTGGCTACCAGTTACTACCAAAAGTTGGGTTTGACTTACAACTACTTTGGTTTAGGAAAGATAGATTAAACTTGTAGTCAATATCTTACCATATTTTATTCTATAAGATACAATATTTCTCAAAAATTAGAAATAAACGAGGGACGTAGAATATCTTAAAACATTTAACGTTGATTTAAATAAGGTTGTTTTATTATGCTTTTTATAATATAATATCTTTAACTTCTATAAAAAAACAGGAAGAAGCGAAAGACATACTTGTACATAGAACATTTTAAAATATTTATTTTTACTTTATTTCTTTTAATCTAAGTAGTTTTTGTGGTCTGTCACATTTATTTCTACTTTAAATCATGCTTAAAAATGACAGAAAAAATGCGTTTGATTTATAAGACAATTAAGTGCGTGAAATACAGCCGGGTCCTAATTATAATTTATTTTATTTGATCATTGTATATCATGGTTACGCCTATGCACTTTCTAATTAGAGTAATCAACAACTAAAAACAATAGCCAATTAAATCGCTAAAATTATTTGGCAATGCAATTGTTTAAAATAGCTGGTGAATATTTGGGAATGTTTTATTTTATTGAACATATGTAATTAAGTTTGGTTTTGCAGTGGCGAGCATACAAATTGATGGGTAAAGGTTATTGTGATTTACTTATTTGATGCACCCAACTTTGTGATACCGGTGCGGTGTGAGCCCTAATTGGTGTGTGCACAATGAGTTTAGTTGCACCGATATTGTTAAGTTTGTTTCCCGTGTAGAGCCGCATACTAACCCGCTTTTCCGATTTCCCATTTTCCATTTTCAGGCAGCAACAGCCGCTCGATGAGCAACGTGCAGCAGTCGGCGGTGGCGCCCTCCACCCTTACCGCCACCCTGCCCCGCTTCCTGTCCCGCGGACACACCTACCGCGCCGTCGTCGGGGACACCCTGGTCCTGCCCTGCCAGGTGGAGAATCTAGGTGAGTTTCGGGGCTACGGGGGTACCTACTATTGGATACTACATGTATAATTAATCCGACGCCTCTCATGTACTCACATTATATGTGAAAATGCGATCATAAAAATAAGTGTGGATCTGGGCCTACAGCAATAATAGTAATAATAATAATATTTTCGACGGGCGGCAGGCGGTGCGAATTATGCAAAATATATGCAAATATGCTTAGGCAAAATGTCACTTCACATAAATTTAATATTCGAGCACGGCGACAACATTTGGCCAACCAACAGCTGTCAGCAGCCTGTCGTTCTGGCCTGCGTTTTGGCCATCCGACACATCGACACATTTTTCCCTTCGCATTTATAAATCGGCCGGCAAAATATGCAACCTCACACATATTGGCAGCAAATAAATTTGGCTGATTAACGCCGCCCGCCGCAGTGGGATGGTCAATGGTTGATGGTCGCTGGTCGTTTGTCATGGCCAAATGGAGTTTAGTTTAGTTTTAGCTTTAGCATCGATTCGATTCGATTCGATTCGCCAGTTGATAGATTTCCATTCCGGATCCACATTCGAATCCGAATCGGAATCCGAATCCGGCCTACTGCAGGCAGTCAAATGGCAAACGAAATGCAATCCAAGCGTGAATGCAGCTGGGCTGCAAATAAAATGACATTTGATTGCCCATGGATGCATGAATGGCTGCGCTGCCGTTTGAGAGACATATTAAAATATGCAGCAATGCCAGCAATGTCTTTCTCGGCTTCAATTAGCAGGCGATGCAGCCTAATGCAAAAATTTCAAAACGGATTGCAATGTATGCGCTTTGATGCCTGACTTTAGCATATGAATATCTTAATTAACGAAATTCCAGAGCGCACTCATGCGAGCATATAAGATATGCTACCTGATGGATCAAGGTCTCAACACACAAAGGCAGCTCAATTCAGGTCAAATTGGTTTTGCTGCCCGGGCTAAGTTTATTATATCGCTAAGTGCCGCAAAAACTTTTAGCCAGCTAGTAGCTAGCCCATCATTCTATCATCGATGTGGTCAATATGCTGGGCGTTGTTGGCAAACAACTGGCTTTGGTCAGGATGAGGCGAACGAGGAGGAGTGCTCCATCAGGAAGTCACCAAGCGGATAATGCCGCAAGCGGGGCCAATGAAAATCGAATTTTAATCAATTAAAGGCGGGCGCCATATTTGCTCCGACTAAACAATTTTAACTAATGTTGACCAAGCTGATGGCTTTCCTTCGCTCTAGTCATTATCGCTATCGAACCGCTTTAATTTTGACCCAGTTGAGCGAAAAACAAGGGGGAAAAGTTTAAATTGCGACTGCTGTTGACATGCCAATAAATAAAATGCAATTAACCGTTCGCAGCAAATGAAAATAAATTGCACATTGATGGCAGCGACGACAGTCCGCGCAGCATGCACTCCAGTGCCCAGATTGACATCAGTCAAAGTTTCCCATTCCGCGATTGTGGAAAGCCAATGTAGATCAAACGGATGGTACACGGCGGAAAAAGGTGGGGTATTGTCCGAGCAAGAATTGTGAAAATATCAGTCCAGCCAATTTTTATTTCCAGGCCCACTAAATATCAATTAATTATTAAACAAAATATTTAAAAGATTTCCGTGGATATAAGCCGGAAAACCTTACAATATACAGTATCTATTAGATACTTTTTGCCTTTTGACCCATTAACTTATTGTTATTTTAAAGATCATTGAAACCTATTCCAAAATGAGCTGAATATCTACTACTTTATATATTGAATCAAAATATACATGCCTACAGATATGCTATGGGTTAGTCAAAACTTAAGTAAGTGTATTGAGGCCTCAAATGGGAAATTGGTTTTTTCACTAAAGTACAAAGATTCAAAGGTAACCTTTTCTCTGAGTGCATGTCCAACAAATGCCGTATGTGTTTCCGTTTGTACCAGCTTGTTTGTGCGTAGCTTTTTTCTTTTGAAAAATATTTTCGTTTAATTCGATTCACTTGCCGAGGCATTAAAGTGCAATGATTTCCCATTAACGCCTGATGTTTCGACTTTTTGTGAGGCTGTTTCAGCTGTGCAACACACATTTCCAATCTGCGCCTTAAGCTGTCATTTGAGCTGAGCTCGGGCTTATAATTCGCTCGGCTTTATTATTCTCTATATGCATCCGATGGCAGGTGATGTTGATTCGTTTGACTGAGGCTTTAATGGCAGCTTGGTATATCAAGAGCATCCTGCTGGTAATTAAACTAGAATATCTCTAAAACTTTGTTGCCAAATAATCAAGATAATAGCGAAAACATCAACTGCAGGGAGTAACTTGATATGTAGACAATACTGTGGCTTCCACCATTTGTTGCCAGAAATCTCCCCCGATGCACTTTAACTCTTGTTGTCGATGTTCCTGGTTGTCCACTGGGTGTGTGTGCACTTTTTTGCACTCCACTGTCATCAATCCGCTTCAGCTTTTAACGACGGGTGACATGGCGAGGTTTGATTGCAGCTTTCATGCCCCAAGAGCCCCCGGCGAGGTCAAGCAGAAAGAGGGCGACGGGGCAAGCCTTTAATCCAATAAAAGAAATTAAGTATCAAATGGTCTATGAAGCCGTTCATTGATTGCCGTTCGCTGTAGTACGATATACGTATGTGTACCTACATTCGTCACATTCACATATGTGCGAATCAAACACGTATACGTCATGTTGTCACCCGGTGAATGGCGTACAAAAACGCTGCTCAATAAATATTGAGCGCGGTTATAAATTGGATTTTCATTGTTCTAGAGGGTAGCAAGAATGTATTGACTTGCCAAATTGCTTTCGCCCAAAGTCTATTGAAAAGGGGTCCCTAAAATGTGGGTAACTCATTTAGGAATTCGAGCCCATCTTGCAGGACCCAGAAAATATGAACATTTTGCGGGCTTAACTCGCCTGAAAATTCATATGTCGATATTGACGGGCTATAAAATGAAATTTTTATGGCATTCCCCACTCACTCCAACAATATCAATATACAGCCATTAGACTCTAATAAAATGCAGGACCGGAAGCCGGCGAGCTCTAATATAAAATCAAAATAAAACCCTCCACCGCCACCTGCTCACCCACAAAATGCCGGGCAATTGGAGGTTCGGAGGTCTGGAGTCGATTCAACAATAATCGAGCCCCAATAAAATGATGATTGCTCGGGTTTAAGCCGCAGTTTATGGGGGTCTCCATGAGGAGGTATTTTATTTTGAGCAACTTAAGCGAGTATTTTATTTGCATTTGAAGAGGGCTGCCATTTGCCCTCGACTTCTGTTAATAACCGGAAGGAAAGAGCACACTCATTATGGAGGCGAATGCATTTTAAAAGCGGCATTAATAATGCATTACTTTAAGCTGTGATTATTTAATGGCAGCTTAAGGTCAGGAAAATGTCAGCTGCCAGTGGGGGAGCACACGCACAAATGTAGTAAATATGTGCGAGTGGAGGTCGGGAAAATAAAAACATTTCATTAAAATTTCATATTTCGAATGGTGGAAATCATATTCCAACAAACCGTTGACCGTTCAACCGAAGGACGAAGGACGCAGGACGAAGCCCGACCTGCCCACCCTTTCATTGGGTAAACGTTGAGGACGTTGTATTTACACAACTCTGATTTCGGTTTTACAGCACGTATACGTAATACGTCCGTGCGGCGCTTTTTCACGTTTGTTTTTTTAATATTTCCATAATAAATACAAGTTCATAAATTTTTTCGAGCCTGGCGGAGCGGTACGGAGGCCCGAATGCTGGGCTGTCGGTCTCTCATTCAGGACTTAAGCACACAAAATAAATAAACATATTATACGCCACTTAATCTCATTTAACAAATTCTCGTTTGCCTTTTTGTGGCGACGACGACAATAAAAGCGATCCGAGTGGTATAAAATATGCAAAGAACGAAAAGAATAAAAAAGCAAAGAATTATGCCAACAACATCTGCAAAATTATGTCATTTATATGAGCAAACATACTAAAAAATAGATGAAAACAGAAGCCCACACATATCCTGCCGCTCCTGCCGTTGGCAGGACCTCGGCTCAGGATAGACAAACAGAACGGAATCTGCAGAAAGACGGAGAGATAGATATGTATCTGTGAGGACGAAAACTATTTTCGCTTGCTACTTCCCACTTTCCTCGCCCAACTTTCCCTGCCACAGTGACAGCTGAAAGTATATGTCTACGCTGGCAGCAAAATGCTTCATGTTTATATTGCGGCATTTTACAATAAATTTCGTAGCCAACGAGAAGACACATTCTGCTCTATATTTTTCATCTGCTTATAGGACCTCCCCCCTCATTTTTCCCTATTCCATACATATATATAGTATATATCTCTATCTCTTGCAGGCAATTTCGTTCTTCTGTGGCGACGAGGAACAAATGTGCTCACCGCCTCCAACATTATGGTTACAAGGGATGAGCGCGTAAGACTGATAGATGGTTATAATTTAGAGATATCCGATTTGGAGCCCCAAGATGCCGGGGATTATGTTTGTCAAATCAGTGACAAAATAAATCGTGATCAAGTGCACACAGTTGAGATATTGGGTGAGTACACGTCGGCATGTTTGCACAGCATTAGGGCACAGATTTCCATTTGACAAGTGCTCTTAAGTCGCACACATCAATTAGCCACTGGTTTACTGATTTACTGATTTTCCCCCATTTTCGCCCCCAGTTCCGCCCAGTGTACGGGCCATCCCCACATCCGGACAGCTGCAGGCCCGCAAAGGAGGACCCATTACGCTGGAGTGCAAGGGCTCTGGTAATCCTGTGCCATCCATTTACTGGACCAAGAAGGTTCGTTACACATCGCTTTGTCCTCTGGCCGGGGTAACTCCGATGCCATTTTAAGTGAATTTCATTTAGTTTAATTGAATTTAATTCAACTGTTTCGCAACTGTTTCGCATCGTTATGTAAATTTAAATTGCGTTCTCCTCGCAACGCGGGGTCAGTTGTTAAGTTGTTAAGCACTTTCCCTTTTCAGATTTCACTTTCACTCGCTTTTAAGCTCTCGAGAGTCCGCCAACTTTCCTGGTGAACCGAAAAGGGGGGGTGGAGTAAAGTTGCTCAGCCATTTTGGATGGCCAAAAGTTCGTTATTAATTAAATATGATTCGCCTACATTAAAGTCACACACAGCACGGGGCAGGTCTTGATGCGAGTGTGTTGTTTGCATTATAAATCAACAACATATCTCATCACTCACAGTTTTCAGCACTTTCCCCGTCGAAATCTCCGCTCGGCAGCGGGGAGCAAACAAAAAGCGAGATGATAAATCGCAGGACCCCAACAATCTACGATTGCGGCATGTGGCTGTAATGGGGGGCAATTATGAATTCAACAAACACATAATTTTACGCATGAGCCAACAAAGGGATAACATATTTGCCAGCCATTCAAAGTGGGCCGAAACGGGAGCGGGCCAAATGAATTTATGCCGACTTATATGACTTGCAAATGCGGATGCGAGTTGGCAATTAGTTTTCGCTGCTAATTCCGAGAAGTTTATCAAGTTGCCAACTGAAGCGTAGAGACACAAAGGCAAGCCGGTTTCATTACCATTACCCATTGCCATTACCCATAAACCATTGTACTGAGTGGAGCCATTTATTCGGGATGGGTTCCGAATCTGGCATTGATTCGATGCCAGCGAATTTACACTAAATCACTGTCAGCAGCAGCCACTTGCAAATGCGGAGTAGGTGAGCTGAGATTGCAGGTTGCCAGTAGTCGGTAGTCGGTAGTTGGTTGCCAGGCTGAATTGCTTGCTCGAGTTCAAAGCGTAATTAATGCGATATGCGATTCATAGACCCACAGAATGAACCCGTACATGGGACCCAAGGAATTGCCAGTTGACCCAGTCACTGTCACTGCCATTCAAGCAGTTAGCACGTACACAAAGAGGCTTGCACTCAGAAAACAGGTCAATAGTTCAGGAACAGAGATTAATTTCAAGAAAAAGAATACCACATTACAAAGATTTTATGGCCATATGACACTGGCTTTAAATTTGACTAATTGAACTTCGACTAACTGACTAGATTTATTTATAAAAGTTATGGTAACCTATACCATATTTGCAAACATATCTCTTTTAATGTAATGTATACAATTTACATTTATATTTATGTTATAGATTCATATCATTTTCTTCTTTAGGCTACCATGAATTTTATAAACAAATACAATCAGTGTCGTATGACGATAAACATTATATTTGTATGATAAGTATAGTTGTTTTACAATGGAACTTTTTAATAATTTTAAATTAGCAAAACTAATATACTTATGACTTGGTACCTTAAAGCTCTTAATAGCACAGTGTTTATTTTCAATTTTACTATCATCTTATATAAATAAATAAATAAATTTTCAATTTGAGATAAATATAAGTTTAAATTGCATACCTTAGTAACTATTTCCTCAGTGCAACTGCTTCAATTCGCACACAAACTTTCAATAAGGCAAGTGTCGGAGTAAGCACTCCTCGAATGGGAATGTGTGTGCCATATACGTCTATGTCAGAGCCCCAGCATTTGGGTAAAAGTCTCGTTTGCATTACTGCACTTTGGCGCATTTGACATTTCCGTTCGATTTGTTTGCTCCTCGGCAGGTACGATGAGTTACCTATGTACGTTATGGGGAAGGTCCTGCTCGTCCTTCTCGTCCTTTTCCACCTGCACCCGCTCGCCTGGAGACACTGCCAAGTTGGGTGTCACTCCATGGCGCTGCGTTCCATTTCAATCTGCCCCAGCATTTCCGTCCTGTTTTCGGCTGTCTTTGGAGCACACGTTGACACGTGTTCTCCCAGGGGCGGCACTTGGCCCAAACCAAGCCAAACCAAGCCAAATCGAGCCAAGCCAAAAGCCGGTTGCCAAAGAAAAGACGCTCGCAGCCAGAAAGCCAGGCAGCTAGAATGCTAGAAAGCCAGAAAGCTGACTTGTTACAACGCCCTTTTTGGCCCTTTGAGACCCGCTCCGATGTCTGTGTTTACATCCAGTTTTGCATGCTCCACATCCAATATTTGTGCAACTTGCCCTTTGGCCCCTGCCCCCTGCCCCTTTTACACTGTGCAGCAGGAGCAAGTTTTTCGCTTTTCGTCGGGGTGGATGTCTTCATTTGGGTTTTGTTTCGTTTCGTTTCATTTCGCCTCCGCACTCTTTCGCTTGCCAACAGCATTTGTCTTTTGACATTTGCTACTTGCACTCTCGCCGACTTCATTTTAGCCGGGCCAAAAGATGTCTGCGATTGATTCAATTTGTTGCCACTCTGTTTACAAAGCGTTACAGAATATGCCACCCCTTTTTTCCTGTTTTTTCCATGTCCTCGCAGAGCGGCGCAAACAAGTCGACGGCCAGGATCGGCGACGGACCCATTTTGACCCTGGAGAAGCTGGAGCGCCAGCAGGCGGGAGTCTACCAGTGCACCGCCGACAACGGCGTGGGCGAACCGGTCACAGTCGATATGAGGCTGGATGTGCTGTGTAAGTACCTATAAGAACTTTTTATAGATTTAGATATTCTATTTTAGATATTAAAGACCAGATGATATGTGAAATCAGTCCTTAAACATTTAATTCCACGCGATTTCTGGCTGTTTCAGAAAGGATTTTCTATATCCTCCGAAATAAATTGGTAACCAATCAAAATAAAATAATATTTCTAGTACCATTCCAATTAAAAAGTAAAGTATCTTAAAAAACATGAACCGTGCTTGCACGAAGATTGTTTTTTCTAAGGCTATAAAATATTTATCAAAGGAAAACTAGAAAATAATATAACTCTAAAAGTTATTTAAGTTTATAAGGGCTTAGTATCTGCACCGCGAAATCTGTCATTAATCATTGAGTGAATAAAGCAGCAACTTGAAATCCATTTTTGGAGATAACTTAACTTTCGTTTTGCAACTGCAGTTGGAGAAAAGTGAAAAAAATCTACAAGACAGAAGAGAGGAAAAGTATCTTAGGGCAAAAGAGTCTCGGGGGTCTCGTAAATCAGTGCCTTAAAGCTGCTGACTGCAGCGGGATTTCAAAGCCAAAACCAGAAACCGCTGTGCAGATACAAGACTCGACCTCGAGATACTCGATGCATGCAACAATGCGGCACCGCCGATTCGATATAGACAAATGCAGGGCAGAAAACAATTTGAACGGGAAAAGAAAGCCGAGACCAAACGGAGTCTTAGCAACTGTATATAAATTGATTTTTGACTGTAATCAGATTGCTGCTTCGTGTGCTAAATTCCTCTACCGCCTCTCTTTGTTTCTTTCTCTGTGTGTCCTTGCCATCCTGGTCCTACCATCCCTGCCATCCTGCAACCTGACGGATGCCTGGGTATCTGGGTATCTGGGTGCAGATCCCCCGGATATTCAAGTGGAGAAGTCCTGGATACACTCGGGCGAAGGATTCGAGGCGAAGCTCGTTTGCATTGTTTACGCTGATCCAGTCGCAACGGTTTGTTGGCTCTTTGAATGCACCGTTCCATTCGTTCCATTGTGCCCAGATAGTTTTTGTTATTTTTCGTGGATTTTTAGATTATTACGATTACGGGGCCATGGGCAGGCAGTCTCATCCCGCCCTCCCCATCGCCCTGCCTTATACAAGAACTTTGTTTTCAGGTCACTTTTTCCAGTTTTTCCTGTTTTTCTTGTTTTTCATTTATTCAGCTTTTCGGTTCTGTTGTGTTTTGTTGTGCTGTGTTCAGTTGCCTTTTCCTCACAGGCTTTGTGCCACTCTGGCCTGCAATTCCTTTCTCCGATGTCTTGCTGTGGCAAATTAATGCCATTTTTATTTGCCCAACTTTCATTTCATTTCGTTTTTCGTTTCGTTTCGAATTGTGGCAGGAAGAAGTTACTGCAAGTGGGTCAAATTTTGAGTTGAATTTATTAGTTGCAATCGTAGTGGCACTCAATTGACATGTGCTTCATCTTCATCTCGATCATCGCCATCGCACAGTCACTTCCCAAGCTAATCCACAGACCTTCTCGCTGCAGGTGTCCTGGTACCAAAACTCATTTCCGATCCAAACGACGGACAGGCGCACCATGAACACAAGGGCCAACCGGCACACACTCACCATCCGGCACATCCAGCAGGAGGACTTCGGAAACTACAGGTGAGTGGAGCTCTAGAGTTGGGAATCTGGAGCTCTGGAATCGACGGGGACAACTTGTGGCTTACAATGAACTTTGCTGGCCAGCGTTGATTTAGTCAATTTGGCAACTTTGGCTACAACTTATTTCACTTTTTGCCAGCCAGTTAGCAGTTCGAAGTTGCCACTTGTCTGAGTTTGCTCCCGGGGAACGAGGCTTAGTATTTGCCACACACTACATGGAAGTACAGTAGTACTCTGGTGTTCTGGTACAGTAGTACACCCACGTCCGGCATTGGGGAATTGTCTGTGCTAGGCGTGGCCCACCCATTTTGCGGACAAACAAGTTTTCCACATCAATGTCAATCTGTCTGAAACATATTAAAGAAGCGGAAGTTTCGCCATGTTGACACAACATTTCATGCACAAAGTTTTAGCCATCTTTCTCGAATGGGGGCAGTGGAGGTGGTGATGGTGATGGCGGTGGTGCCCATCGAACCACCAAACCACCTGGTCACCACCCACAGTGAGTGGCTTTTGTGCACACGACGTGTCGACGTGTTTGGATTAGTTGAGTCGAGTTCCCCAGTTGGTTGCCAGCCACTTGCCGACTGCCAGATCGATGCGGGCCCAAGTCCACATGGCGGATGGCTGAGAATCCATTCCCTTCCCCCAGCGCCCCACGTGGCGTATGAGTAATGCTGACAGAGTGTAATGCAAAATTAAAAGGAAATTACATTTTTGGCCGTGTGCAAAAGTGATTGCAGGCAAATATGACGCATCCAGAAATTAACAAACCAAATTAAAAAAAATAAACAAGAGGGAGAAATTGGAAAAACCAAAAGCCAATTAAGGCAATTAACCATTTAAGCCATATGCTAATTAGAAATCCCTTTCAGCTGCGTGGCGGACAATTCGCTGGGACGCTCCCGCAAGTACATGGAGCTCTCCGGACGCCCCGGACCCGCCGAGTTCTACTCGCCCAAGTGGGGTCGTTCGCCGGACAGCTACAACCTGACCTGGAAAATCGATAGCTACCCGCCGCTGGAGGAGGTTCGTCTGCTCTACCGTCGAGTGCTGGTGAGTAGAATGAATAAGTGGGATGGCTAATTGGGCGGTTGATGAGGTGGGAAGCCACTGGCAATCCGATATGAAAGGAGTATATTCAATTAATTAATTGTGAAATATGCACAAAGCCCGATCCAGCCAGACTGACATCTAGACAATGGGCTGGATGGTGTTCCCTGGATGCCTTAAAAAGCAATCCGATACCTTGATGTCTCGTCTCGAAACGGCTTTTATTTTGGGAGAAGACTTGCTCACTAATGAAGCACGTGATTAAAATTACATCCACCGAGATGTCTAAAAAATCGAGCACCAAAATGCGAGCAAAAAAGCGAAACGAAGCCATTAAGTAGAAAATAGAGGGAAATGAGTGGGGGTCATAATGTACAGTGAGAAATATTAAGACTTGGTTCTAAAAGGAACAATTAAAAAATTCAGCATAAGAAATAAATTATTGTTATGACTAGGATTATATGTCTTAAGGTATTCAAAACAATGCATTTTCATCGAACTTCGATTAAAGATAAATAGTTCTTTTAAATTTTAAATTTAGATTTGGGCTTATACAAATTCTTGATTTTTTTATAAATTTATATTGGATTGAAATGATAAGAATATGGTTTTGTTAACAATCCGATTTCTTTTATATCTATCATCTTAAGCATACTCATATTTACTTTAGGAAATAAATATTACAAAATCATACTCTTAAAACATTTATAAAATATTTTCGATGTAGCAAATCTGAGGTAGACAGAGCAAAGTGATTTTTAATACGAGTATCAGCGTAGACATATGAAAATGTCGCTTAATTGCGACTCTGGGCTATACAGACGGGGCAAATCGGGAAATTTAATGAGATTTCGAGCCACGCACACTTGGCGATGAATGTCAAACTGCAGTGGCCTGCCACGCTCCGTTGATTGGGCGGAGATAATTTTTCCTGAATTTTTTTTTCTGCATTCATGCGCCATTGAAGTGCAATTATTGGAGGACTTTCCGCTGGGGCGGGATATCAAGAGCCTTTGCTGGAGGCAGAGGAGGCTTAATTGATGTGATAGCTGTCATAACTTGATCGGGCGCTCGCAGCGGAAATCATTTGGTTTCCTCGCGCAGGACATAAAATTAATTAAGGAATCAAAGGAAAACTGTCAATGGTGAAAGCCGACACTTAATTTGGCTCTTCTGTGCCTTCTCTCTCTCTCGTTTTTCTCCACTTTTCCGCCGGATAGATGAATGATACGTACCAGCAGCCCGGCAGGTGGCACGACTTCATCCTCACCCCGGAACACCGACCGGCCTCGGAGCCCCTGACACACATCATGTCCTACACCATCAAGAATCTGCATCCGGGCGCTTACTACGAGGCAATTGTGCAGGCCAAGAATCGCTATGGCTGGAACGAGGTGAGTTCTACTCTATAGCCTATACCCTATAGCTCTCGGTGCCAAAAGACCGGCATAAATCTAGTCGGGCGGCTACTTAATCTTGATTTTGTGCCACTTTTCTTTACTCAACCTCTGTCCACTCTTCTTGCTTTTCCCCGCATTTTCCCAACCCCGCAGGTCAGCGATATATTTCAATTTATCGTCGCCAGCAACAGCCAGGACATTGCCCCCGAGGACGCCGAGGTGGTGGCCAGCTCCAAGTCGCGCAGCAATGGTGCCTCGGTCGGCAGCCTGCCAGGATCCTTGCCCCACAGCCTGCTCCTCCACACGGTGCTCCTTTTGGTCCTGACCTTGAGTAATTGTCAGTTCGACAGGCGACGACTGGGCCTGGGATAAGTTCATTCCGCAGGAGTTCAGGATCATGAGTATCAGAAGTGGAGCAGCAAAGGTTGGCGGGAAGGAGCAGAGGCATCCAGGAACACCAAAGAAAATTCTCAAAAACATTATTGGACTCTGCATACTGCCAACCAAAGAGCAAGTGAATCTAGCCCCAACTAAAAAGCAAAATGAGATAGAAAGCAAGCTGAAGGAAATTAAAATAAAAACCCATGTAAATAATTTTTCGAGAGTTTTGTCCACGATTAAATTAGCACACACACACATAAAACCGGAAAATGGTTAATGGAAATTGCAATTCGAGAATGCAAATCCACTATCCAAATCCCACCCCCCAGTTCCATCCCCATGGTAGAATAAGCAACTCGAACTAGGTCATGTAAATAAGCATTAGATATCTGAATGTGAACTGCATTTTACTTCATAAATGTCGGGCTGATGCTCGGTGTGCAGGATGTGTATGTAAATTAAGCAAACATTATATAGTGATATTATTTAGTTTCAAGCGAAACCATAAATAACAGAATATTGAGGATGAAATAGGCAAAAAAATAAAACACTGGAATAAATCACACCGCAAATTGTTAGTATGTAAAGTATTTGCCATTTACCACTTGCCATTTGTGTTCCGAATTCGAATCCGTAAACGTTTCATTGCCATTCCTTCGATTGCAGCTGTAGTCTTATTTTAGCCAGTAAGCGCACCCATAACCAAAACGATAACAACGCAACAGCAATTCAATACAATGTTTTTCGATGTAAATTAGAGTTTAAGCAAACGTGTTGTACCACCAAAAAAAGCGGAAAAGCGGAAAAGTCGGAACTAAGCTAGTCCCCCATTCGGAATATTAGTCGGAGCATTTGAATGTGAATTTTTGCATACATATTAGCGGCACGCGAACGTCACGAACGTCAGGGAGTGTCAACCTGTAAATACATGAATACTGTACTTATTGAGTGTTACGAAAAACCCAGCAGGCATTTTATCAGCTTTTGCACCTTTCCAATTGTACGATTGTGCGATCCCCATCGAATCGAATCCGAATCGAGGCCGTACTGTTTCATTTAGGGCACACAATAGAGGTCAAAGCTCACTTGTATATTTTATAGGCCGCGGCCCCTCGAACTCGTATTACCACATATACAACAACTCCTGTATTTAGCATGTCGAACGAAGCCAAAAGCCGAGTTAAATGGGGGAATCGAATCGAATCGAAAACCAAGTAAAAGCGTTACAATTTATCTACATAAATGTGTATGTGTGTGTACCTTACATAGCCAGTTGAATGCAGGATGCGGGAGGAGTACGAATCGAAGGCATTACTACAGATTTAACAGATACAAGGATCTCCGAACGATCCGATCTGAAACTAAATACAAGTATAATTCAGATAAATCAGAAATAGATAAGCACCTTGGCAGTGCGTGTTCATTAAAAGTGAATTCATTAATTACTAACTACATAGTACGATGCTAATTGTATGATTAATGCGCATAAGAAACCCTAAAATATTCAAAAATAAAATAAAGCATTAGATGTAAACTAAAAAGGATATTTTGTTTTATTTCCTCTGGTCTCTCTACAAATTAAATAAAGGAAAAGTTGGTATGTGTTGTTATTTCATACAATTGTATTTATTTTCCATATTTTTCTTAGCACAAAGAATAACTTTTTGGACTTCACAACAGGACACAAATCAGTTCCAAATTAGTATTGCAATTTTTCCTCAAGCAGCTTTTAGGGCTTACAATTTTAAGGGGCCCTCAAGTATTTCCCTGCCATAATGCAAGTATGAAATTTAAATGTGTCACATCCTTTGTGCCACTCAACAGACTCGCAAACTTTCTGCAAATTTATATGAAAATACATAATCATCGATGGAACTGCCAGGTCTTTTTGTCGATTTTTTTGCCAGGACTTTGCCCGGGGCTCTTCTAAGCTCTTTTCTGAAAAACGCAAACGCTGACCAGAGGGCAGAGGAAAAAAAAAGAAAAGAGAGAAGACTCGACATACGTGCACGGTTTAAATTATTAAAAGTTTTGCATTTGGCAAAAGTTTATGCATGAAATTTCATAGGGCGCACAAGCTACTTGAGCTGCGTTTTTATACAGGCGGATACCACCGTTGCAAGTTTCATTTGGAACGGAACGCAGAGGATGTCCGGATGCCAGTTACTGGTTGCCAGTTACCAGTTCCCAGTTCCTGGGACATTCCTATCCCTGCCCACCCAGGTATTTGCATGTTCCAGAGGCCCACTTGACGCCCCCGTCCAAGTTTGCCGGGTGCAAACTTAGTGACCATTATGCATGCAAGTCTCAATATATTGCACATGAATTTTAATGAAAATTGTGTCGTTGAACTGGCCAGGGAAATGGGGACATTCCGCAGAAATATGGTGGAACTAGAGGAGAACTTTTTGCAAATCATATCGCATAATTGGCGAGCCACAAGCGACTCTTTACAGCCATTTGCATTGGCTGCGAACAGTTGGCCCAGGGACAAGTTTTGGCGCATATTAATTAGCTCGTTTATCATTTGAACACTTTTCTGACAGCCAGAAAAGAGCGGTGCACTCGAAGCAATGTAAAATTAATTAAGTTGCGCCACAAGGAAACTCTTTCACTTGCCCCATCCGAGCATCCTTCTCGCTTCCACCTCCACCGCCACATCCACATCCATTGCAGTTGCCATTGGTATTCATTTCAAAGGAACGTGGCAGCAATAAAGAATCGCTGCGAAAAACTGTTAACTAACGAAAATGAAATCATAATTAATATTGGTGAAATTGGCAAAGTGCAGTCGGGAGTTGGTGGTGAGGTTGGCGCACTAATGCCCCCCACTTTCACCCACCATTCCGGAAAAAAGGAGCCAGTCAGTCAGTCAGTTAGCCTGGCAAGCAGGCGTCAAGGCGAGCAAGATTCAAACTTTTGTAATTAAAATTTGCAGCTCGGTTTTTTTAGCCTTTTTTTCGAGAAAAAGCCAAGCAAAGCAAAGGAAGCAAGCAAATCATAAAGCTACATGGCAGCCAAACTTTGCCGTTCAAGTGCGAATTAAATTAATTTTCAGCTGATTTGATTTCTCCAACAGTTATTGCTAAAAATGCAAGTTTCCACAATGGCCGATGGGAAAGTTACTGGCCGGCATTGGCCAATCAAAGGGAATGTCCGGCAAATTAAACTAAATTGCCAAGAGAATGCCGATAAATTAAATTAGCCGAGGCAAACAGAGACCGCACAGTGCCAACTATGGCAACGGATGTGGGAATATGTCGAAAAGGCGAGTCCTTCGGTTGCCCGGGCAACGCACAATAATTCAATGAGAGGACCACGGATGGGTGAAGAAGTCCTGTAGTCCTGAAGTCCTGTAGTCCTGTGAGCAACCGAATTTACATAATTCTTTGGGGCGGCCAGAGTGGCGTGGCGGGGGCGGGGCAGCCTGATATTTATGGCGGGCAGCTTAATGGCGGTTTAAAACGTTGCAGCCAAGGGAAAAAAATCGCTGTAGGATCCCTGCTCCCGGACAACAACACCCCAGCATTATGCTAAAACAAATCTACATAATTTAGGAGTAGGCTGCCAGGACAAGACAACATTTCCCCTCCGCCTGTCACTGACGCACAAATCAAAAGGCAGCCGCCTCCTTGCGAGAAATTGTTTGCGGATGCTAAGAAAAATTTGTACATCAATCGATTTTGTTTGATTTTTTCCCAGCTCGCCGATGCCCTCGCCTTTCGCCTGTGCGTTGAGTTGGCCGCAAGAGATTTGCATAATTCATGGCGCTGATGGCTGGTGAGGATGGGTTCCCAGGATGGGATGGCATGGGTTCCTCGGCCGGAAACGGGGCTGGAATATCGGCTGAGTGATTGGGTGGGGCCAGAGATGTGTCTGCCTGATTGCTTTGAGTGGCTCATTTCGCACAGTCCGCTTCTGGTGGTGGGGTAAATTGGAAAAAGTATGTCTATGGCCTGACACCCTTGAGCCCCTGCTCCCGGATTTTATTTCCACTTTCCTCACAAGTCCGTATAATTCTCGCCTCGACCTGCGTGCCGCACGTGAGTGGAGAGCACTCTCGTATAGTTTTTTAATCAACCTGCAACATGCAAAACCAATGACAGTTCTCCTGTCTGCGTGCCGCAAAAGAAATGCCGACGAAAAGCAAACAAGTTGGGCCGTCAATTTCAATTTATATTCTAATGACATATTGTTCCTG